CTATTTACAAAAGGACTTTTTTAGGGGCGCCTGAGTGGCTCAGTCATTAAGCGTCTGCCTTCGGTTCAGGTCATGATCCCAGGGTCCTGGGATCAAGCCCCCCATTGGGCTCCCTGCTTGGCGGGAAGCCTGCTTCTCCCTCTCCCACCCCCTCTGCTTGTGTTCCCTCTCTCCCTGTGTCTCTCTCTGTCAAATAAATAAATAAAATCTTAAAAAAAAAAAGACTTAAAAAAAGATTTTATTTATCTGTCAGAGAGAGAGCACAAGCAGGGGCAGCGGCAGAGGGAGAGGGAGAAGCAGACTCCCCGTTGAGCAGGGAACCCGATGCGGGACTGGATCCCAGGACCCTGGGATCATGACCTGAGCCCAAGGCAGACGCTCAACTGACAGAGCCACCCAGTGCCCAACAGAAGGACTTTTTGAGAGTCAGAGCAGAGTGGCAGCACCGTTCCTCTCACATAGTAAAACAGTCCACAAGTTTTGGCTGAGCCTCAGCTAGCTTTCATCTATCCCCCTTCCCTTGCAGCTCTAGAGGTAGCCATGCAACCAAGTCCTGGCCAGGGGCATCTGAGTGGAGCTTCCTGCTGCTTGGAATTTTAGAACAAGAGCACGTGGCTATGCTCCCCTGAACAGCCAGACAGAGGAGCTTGGGTTCCTAAAACCATGGATCACTATGTCAGTTCTGGCCCTTCCACCCCGACTGTTATGTGAGAATGAAATTTAATCTGTGGCTTAACACAACAAAAGTTTATTTCTTGATCCCACCATTTGTCCAGCGCTGGTCAGCAGGGGAATCTGCTCATCGAGGGAACTGAGAGACCTGGGCTGAAGCATTCTATCTCAATCAGTGCTCCCACTACTGTCCAGACAGGCAAAGGGAATGTAGTCAATCGTATACTCTTAAAGCTTCCGCCTGAAAGACCTGTGTTTTCACACATGTGAAAACACATGTGTCCCTTCATTGGCTAATGTAAATCACATCAAAATGCCTAACCTCAAAGAGGGTAGGGAAGTACATCCTTCCATGTGCCCCAATGGGAGAAGAACCAGAATATGTGAACTATCCTAATGAGTATGAGAATTTCTGTCTTGTTTAAGCCACTGTTATTTTGGGTTTTCCTCTACTTGAGCTTCACTGAATCCCAACCAATACAGGAATGATGGCATCAATGCTGTAATCAGTAGGAAGTGTTTGTTGAAATCTCGGGAATTCCCAGGATAACAATAGTAGATAAAAGCAAATCATAGGTTTAGAAAACACAGTAGAACCTTAGTATTTGAGTAGTTTAGGAATGTATTCTGATCTGCTATAGGTAAAATCAGGTCTGTCTGCCCCTGCCCCCCAACGTAGAAACCATCTGTGCGGAAGGCTGGCAGATATTTCTTTCTTTCAACCAGACCTGTTGTGCAACACATCCATTAAATCTGTAATCCAGAGCGTTTATTTACTGTGTGTAGGTGTCACCTAGAAGCAGGCACAGTTCATTAAAAAAACAAAGGAAAAAATCAGGTTAGTCTTATGGAAAAAATTCTGTAGACTATGGACAGAGGTCTTTTCTGTTAGTGGAGAGTGAGCTCATGCACAGAATGGACCACTCTTGCTCTCTTGTAGTCTCATTCTTGAGCAGGAAAGCAGAGCTGTATCAGATATGAATCTGAAGGACAGAAGCAGCTCTGGAGACACCAAGCAATAGTCTATGTTACAGGTTTAGCACACTCCTTTAATTTCATTGGAAAAAATAATGAAACTGGAGAAAAGTATTTATGGAACTGGAGGAGAGCATATTTTGCTGGTTTTACTTTATGTTTGAAGTTTTGGGTATAGCTCTGCCCATAAATACTGAAATGCCTAGCATAAAGAAAGCAGCCTGGGGCATACCCCATAAAACTTACAGTGCAATTAAATGAGCAATTTCCACTGGAAATAAAACGGGCATGTTGAGTGGAATATGAATTAAACTATGCATAAGACTCGGGCTTGCACTAGGAACCTGCTGGGTTCAGTAGCAACTGATGCAGTCCATCTATAGGTCAAGGCCAGTAAGTAACAAAAGACAACTGCAGTTAGCATGAAGATCAAGGCATTCCAAATTGTGGTTAATGTATTTCCCCTGTCATTATGTCTCCTGGAAAGGCCCAGCAAAATCAGGACTGATAACAAAAGAGTAAATCTGACCCTCCATGACACTGCAGACGCACTGAGCTGCTCCATTGTGTTTGCTCTGCAGAATTTTTTACAGTCTCAAAACTTTATTATCACCTTCTGAATATTCCCTCCTTCATCAAAGTCACCTAGGTGTCATTAGGTGTTTGTAAAGATTTCAAGGGGCATACTGAAAAGCCACCAAAACAAACATCAGTTGGTACAGCACCCCACACTCTGTCCCGGTTCATTTCTGGGACCTTATTTGGAGAGGAAAGGACATGACTCACTGATATGCCAAGGGAAAACTCAGCTCAGGAAAGGTTTAGAACTGCAAGTCTGAGGCACCACATGTATACTTTGGCTCAGAGAGGGACTGGCTTCTAAGTACAGAAAACACATTTATCTCATTTGTCCTGGAGGTGAAGCAAATCCGACCAAGATAAAGCTTAGCATTCATTCTTTGAGGAATTAGCGTAAGGGTGAGTGAAGGAAAGCTTGATGTTTTTCTGCCCCGAAAGCCAGGGGAAGGCTGGTTTCGAGAAACCAGTTCTTTCCTCCCCAGTCCCACGTGGTCCACCTTCACTGTCCTGGAGGACACGAGGGGGCAGAGTGGGTAATAGGTACGTGATTCGAATGGGTATTACCAGCCATTTAGACCATTCATAAGTTAAACTAAAAAGTATTGCTTCAGAAAATTATGATATTTCACTGTAGTTTTGTCTAAATTCTCCTCTTGCCAAAATAATCGGTGTCTGCCATTTTTCTAATTGTAAAAATGTATTACATATATATGAAGTTTGCTCAAATGAAAACCAGTATTTTTTTTTAATTTTATTTTATTATGTAATGTTAGTCACCATACATCATTAGTTTTTGATGTAGTGTTCCATGATTCATTGTTTGTATATAATACCCAGTGCTCCATTCAATACGTGCCCTCCTTAATACCCATCACCGGGCTAACCCATCCCCCCACCCCCCTCTAAAACCCTCAGTTTGTTTCTCAGAGTCCATAGTCTCTCATGGTTCATCTCCCTCTCCGATTCCCGGCTTCATTTTCCCCTTCCTACTATCTTCTTTTTTTTTTTTTTTTTTAAACATAAAATGTATTATTTGTTTCAGGGGTACAGGTCTGTGATTCATCAGTCTTACACAATTCACAGTGCTCTCCATAGCACATACCCTCCCCAGTGTCCATCACCCAGTCACCCCATCCCTCCCACCCCCCACCACTCCAGCAACCCTGTTTGTTTCCTGAGAATAAGGATTCCTCATATTAGTGAGATCATATGATACTTGTCTTTCTCTGATTGACTTATTTCGCTTAGCATAATACCCTCTAGTTCCATCCACGTCATTGCAAATGGCAAGATTTCGTTGTTTTTTTTTTTGATGGCTGCGTAATATTCCATTGTATGTGTATACACACATATACATACATATATATACACACATACACACATATATATATACACCACATCTTCTTTATCCATTCATCTGTTGATGGACATCTCTTGGCTCTTTCCATAGTTTGGCTATTGTGGACATTGCTGCTATAAACATTGCGGGGCACGTACCCCTTCGGATCACTATGTTGGTATCTTTGGGGTAAATATCCAGTAGTGCAATTGCTGGGTCGCACGGTAGCTCTATTTTCAACTTTTTGATGAACCTCCATACTGGAAAACCAGTATTTTCCGTGGCAGCAAAGGCTTTGAGTTTTTCGCATATGATTTTGTTCTAGTCACACCTCTATCTCAGTATATCTACTTGCATAACGATAATTTATGTCATGAACCAAAAGTGCTGTTTCCTCTCTTTTGTCCAGGAGCCATCTTTCCCTAAAATGAGCAATTATGTGCATTTGGCTGCCATTCCTGGCCACAGAGTTGCAGCCATGGTGGTGTCTGGAAGGGCGGTGTTCTGCTTACACGAGAGGAGGCAAGGGCAGGATGAGAGAAAGCTGGTCTTGCAGAGCAGGCATGCTAGCAAAGCTGAAGCTAGTTACAAGGAAGGAGGGTATAACAGTGAATTAGGAGTTAAGGCAGTAAAGTTGCTTTTCATGTGTGACCCTCCTATGTTGGACATTTCTGCCTTAGACAAAAGGCATAATAAAAAAAGGGCACTTTATTATTTAGGTTAACAGAGCATTATATAACCAGAATTTTTACAGTTTTATATGTATAGTGAATAGTTGGTGGAGGAAAAAAGGGCTTCTCCTAGGTTTATTATTTAGATAAGAAAAAAAACCCCTTCAGATTCTTTAATGATGCTTTTCTCTTCCTTCCTTCCGTCCGTCCTTCCTTTCCTTTCTTCTTTCCTTCGACAAAAGCTTGGAGGCATAAAATGGGGTTATTTTAATCGAAATGGCAGCCTCTGTGGTGCTGCTTTACTACGTGTTCACAGTGAAAATCATTTCATGTTTTCCTCGGATAACTGCGGTCAGTTTGAAAACAGCCTTGTTAATTAGCAGGCTGTGACGCAATATATCACTGCATCTTTAGAGCTCTGGCGCCAGCTAGTGGTAGGAGAGGGGAGCCGCGTGGTTGCTCTCAAATCCGGCGAGACGGCTCTCATCATGTTGCCTCCCCTTAGCCCTCGTCCTTCCCCATTTTTTCCCCCATCAGTATCATGGGGGATCATTGCCGCGTGCCTAGAGAGGGGCAGGCGGAATTGCAGGTCAAAGTAGAGAAAAATGGTGGGCAGGGGCGGACAGAGGAAAGGCCAGACAAATGCATTCCATTCTTCCAATGGATTTGAGAAGAGATCATTTATTTGAAATATTCCTGCCATGTTGATGGAGCAGCTCAATCTTTTGCGAGTGAATGCTTAACTTTTTGTTTTTCATTTGTAGAGATATTTGAATATATACTAGGACATGTAATAACTATGGAACTTCACCACAAACACAGCACTGAAGACAGGCATGTTGTAAGTCTAAATTTGTGTTCATTTTTAAGTAGCAAATATTTCTACTGTGAACAGGCTCTGCTACCTTCTCACTGGTACAACTCTAGATGAATAACTCTCAGATGGTTAATAAAACAGAAACCTCTTAAGATGATATTTGGAGCTGATACGTTCTGAAAAAACTATATAAAAATTTCGGGCAAAAGACACTTTGTTGGGGATGTATGAAGTAAATCTAGGCTTGGAGCCCAATCTGTCCTCAAGTTGAAATAGGTTATAAGGATTTGCAGGAAAACTTCAAACATACAGTATGTATTTTAAGAACAAAGAATTTTTGGCAGACCATTTTTCTCATTTAAGCTATAGCTGATCTTACTAGGGTTATGGAGGGACTTCAAATGCTAATAAATAAAACGTGAAGCTGAGACATTTCTTTCATTAAATAGCAGGAGTGTTTATAACTATTACTTATTGCTAAAATCAATTATTAGTACTAATATTCGATGTGGAATTTCTAATGAAAACAAGCTGAAGCTTGTAAAGAACTTTTTAAAAAAATGTCATTTGTTATTGAGCACTGGGTGTTATATGCAACTGACGAATCACTGAATTCTACACCTGAAACTAATAATACAGTATATGCTAACTAAATTGCATTTAAATAAAGAATTTATTATTAAAAGAAAGATCATTTGTATATCTCTATGTCAGTTCTAGAGAATAAGGATAATCTGAACTAAAATTCTTGTAATAATATTTTTAGAAGGCAGATCTAATTTAAGAGAAGGTTTCAGGCAGGAATTATTGTAACAGTCTTCCCGGGCAGCCTAAAGTGTTACTCTGCTGTTGAGGAAACACATTTAAAATCTCTATGGGAGACGTCAGATGGTAAAATAGCCAGCAGCTCCCGGGGCCGCTGTGTGAGATTTACGTAAACTGGAACTTTGAACTTACTTTGCACTTTTGCTAAAAGCTGCATATTTCATATTAAAAATTCACCTAACCTCCTTGTCAACCAACTGAGCCACCCAGGCACCCTGAATATGAGTTTTAAGGAGTATTTTTTTCTTTTTTGGAAAAAGAAAATTAATTTTAACAAGGCTCTTTCAATGACAGTAGATTAATTGAAACTGAAATGAATGATAGAGTGGAATTGTCATAAAATTTTGGGAATTACAGCAAGATAAAATAATTTATGCTCTTTTAAAACATTTTTGTAGTATGTAGCTACTTATTTTAAATGCTGAGTTTGTGATTAGGTCTATTTTTTTTTTTTAAAGATTTTATTTGACAGAGACACAGAGAGAGAGGGAATACAAGCAGGGGGAGTGGGAGAGGGGGAAGCAGGCTTCCTGCAGAGCAAGGAGCCCGATGTGGGGCTCGATGTGGGGCTCGATGTGGGGCTCGATGTGGGGCTCAATGTGGGGCTCAATGTGGGGCTCGATCCCAGGACCCTGGGATCATGACATCTGAGCCGAAGGCAGAGGCTTAACAACTGAGCCACCCAGGGGCCCCAATTAAGTCTTTCTTTAAAACTGTTTAGTGGTCGCCTTAAAATATTTTGATGCCTACTATAATCCTTATGTAATTTCCCATATGCTGCCAGGTAAATGCTTTGAAATGTCATTCCGTCATAATTTGAAATTTACTCATAAAGATTTTAAGATTTATCATTTGGGTTTGATTTCTTATTACTTTTTGATATTATAAAGTTAGAAATTAACTCTACATTGCAAAATAAACACATTTGAAGGAAGGAAGGAAAATACACCTGAGTGTCTCTCTATATATTTTTCCTTTTTGGCGATGTCTCTGATGACTTTGAAATAGTGATAGCAAATAACCGGTTTACTCAATTTGGATTCTCCTTTTATTTGAAATAGTCTATAACATTTTTACAAAAGAAATAAACATAGGATATAATTTTTACTCGTGGGTGTCCCTGAATTTGGCAGCATAAAAACAAACTTATAAATACAGTCACACATTACGGTGTTCACACTGGAAAAGACAAGGCAATCTAAAATGCATATGTACAAATAATCAAATACTGGTCTGGCCTCTAGATCACATGGTTCCTAAATAGCATAATCTTCCCTTGCAGAGTGATCCCGAAGCCCTCTACAGACCTCCTCATTAGGAGACTCTGGCACAGTATGAGGAGGGGACGCATCTGCCAATAAAGTGCTACAGATGGTTTCCCTCATTAGCCTACCGAACTCCAAGCAACCATCACGGAGGAGGCCTGGGATCTCACTTGGATAAGATGTTAAGCTAGCCTCCTGTTCACTGTCATTAGGACTTCTCCAAAATAATCTCCTTAGTGTACCCTGTTGGGCTTGGGCTTGTCTCCATGTCCTGCTTGTAGAGAGCCGAGATGGCGGCCCTGTGTCCAACTTGCCAAGGGGCATTAGATGATTTTCAGATTTGACGAAGTTCCCTAGCAAGTCAGACTTATAAACTTCTTTATCTAAATGCAGTGGCAGGACAGTCTTGATGCTCCCCAGAAGCTCATTAGCACAGCTTTTGGAATTCCAGGCAATGCTCACCTTCGTGTACGTGCTTCCTTATTACGACAATCTCATTTCTCCTTTCCCCCTCGACCTACTGATTTATTGATATAATGGCATTTTACTATTGTTTTGTTTACCCTTTGTTTATGAATCAACCTTAAAATCAGGGCACCAAGCCCTGGCAACCGGAAATGTTAGTTAAGTTTAGCAGTAGAGAGGCGCCTGGGTGGCTCAGTCGGTTAAGCGTCTGCCTTCGGCTCAGGTCATGACCCCAGGGTCCTGGGATCGAGCCCCGCATCGGGCTCCCTGCTCTGTGGGGAGCCTGCTTCTCCCTCTCCCTCTGCCTGCCTCTCTGCCTACTTGTACTCACTCTCTCTAATAAATAAATAAAAATCTTAAAAAAAAAAAAAAAAAGTTTAGCAGTAGAGACAGCAGGGGGAGCCCATACTGTTTTATGCTCTGCAGTTTCTCTGACTGGCTGATTATTATAGTAATTATTATAGTTGTTGTTTTACAGTTATAACAGAGATGTTTACAATCTATGTACATTTATAACATGGATGTTTAGAATTCAGATAATCCCCATGTGCTAGACTATTATAATTTTAAGTCACAGAGGGTCAATTTTTATTCTTTAATTATATGAAATTATTAGGATAGCACTAAGAATAATTGATAGGTAACAATTTGGCAGTAAGAATTTTCTTCCCTGTCTTTTAACCCAGGGAAAAACTTGTTCTGAATCTTATTTCTCAGAAAATGAAATCAGCTAAAATCCCTATATAATTTCTTGTGCCTGTTCTTTGGCATTTACACTTTATACCTTTTTTTCACCCCTTGAAATAAAGTGTAAAAATTAAAATATACCAACTGATGTATTTTTGAGACTGTGATAGTGAGGGGAGGTCCCACCACAATTGCTTGGTGTTCTAATATGACCCAGACTTAATTTTCCATTTTGAAGTTAATAAAATGCAAAAGCCCAGTGGCCTTTAATATTGTTTTCTTATTCTTGATGAGATCCTTGGGTCAGTAGGTTTTCACTACCATAAAATAATTCAGAATATCTGAATGACTTTTTGCTCTCTAAATAAGCCATTGTAATGTCTCTAGGCATACATTCTATATATTGGAGCCCATCCTAGATTATTCTGTTCTATTGGAGGGGAAGGAATTCTAGAGTGATACTCACATACCTGCATTGGTGATTTTGCCCATAATATCAGAAAAGCCACCTCACAGCGTGACGTTTCATTGTGATATTAAAAAGGGGTTTGTAAATTGAAACATTTCTATTGAATAATTTTTGAATTTCTTAAGAAATAGCTTAAAACAAAGCATCAACTGTATATTGACTGGGACACTGACTGTTGGTACAACACATGCAATTTTAACAAAATAAAGAATTAATATTTTTCTTTTTTGCCAAAAGACTGTAAGATTTAAAATTCTATGATGGATCCACAATTCTGTGGATCCGCTGGCTTCCTCCATGCTGAAACTAAAAAAAAGAAAAAGCAATCTCAGAGTGATCAGAAAAGTTTAGGAGGAGTAGCATTTGAGCAGAGCTTTGAAGGTTGGGAAGAACTTTATGGGGATGATGGTGGGGCTGTAGTATGTAGTTGTGGTGCGAGGGAAAGACACTCCAGGCAAAAAGAAGGTCATAAACAAAGGGTCACAGACCAGAGCATAGGAACCTTGGCTACCTACAAGGAGTGGGGCATTATCATGAAGTTTTGATGTGCAGCTAAGCAGTTAGAACTTTATTCTGGAGGCAGAGGGAGCCAGGGAGGATTTTAGAGGGAGACATACTCATAGGAATAATATTCCAGGGAGATTGATCTGGTGACAGGGAACAGGATCCTTGAAGATTTAATCAAATTGATATAGCATCAGCATTAGAAAGCAAAAATAAGTTATAATTTAAAGTCGTGGTTTTGGGCACCTGGGTGGCTCAGTCGGTTAAGCACCTGTTTTTGGCTCAGGTCATGATCCCAGGGTCCTGGGATGGAGCCCCGAGTTGGGCTCCCTGCCCAGCGGGGAGCCTGCTTCTCCCTCTCCCTTTGCCCCTCTCCCTGCTTGTGCTTGCTCACTCTCAAGTAAATAAAATCTTAAAAAAAAAAATAAAGTCGCTGTTCACATAATTTTAGAATATGATTTAAAGTGTTTTTATAAAAAAAAATAAAGTGTTTTTATATCATCTTCCTTGATTATTATAGTCAATGCTAAAATCCAGGAGAACAAGTCTGAGTAGAGCTGTGTGTGGATATTTTCTTCCCATGAATATTAATAATAGTACCTTGCATTTGGGGAGCATGTTTTATTATTCCAAATATCAACATATTGTTTTATTCTTTTATCAACCTGGTAAGGTTAATGGATACTTATAAAAATAACAGGTGTTACATGCCCAACCCTTCGCCCCCACATTATCTTTTGGTTGCATATGTAAATGTCGATCGAGAGATTAGAATGAAGCTTATGGTTGTGTCAGTTTCTCTGTGAAGAGTTGACAATATTATTCTATGGTTATTATTATTTTTTTAAATTTTTTTTTTTTTTTTGAGAGAGAGAGAATGAGCAGGGGGAGGGCAGAGGGAGAGGGAGAAGCAGACTCCCTCCTGTGACGGGAGCCCTACACAGGCTTGATCCCAGCACCCCGAGATCATGACCTGAGCTGAAATCAAAAGTTGGATGCTTAACCGACACTGAGCCACCCAGGTGCCCCTCTATGGCTATTTGTTTCAAAGAAGCTTTGAATTTCATTTTGTAGGTGTCTTACACTGTGGTACTATCATTGCTTCAATTATATACTCAAAGCAAACACGTTTTGGAGGGAAATAGAGTGTCATCCAGTTATATATGTTGTTTGGTATATCTTTTTTTTTCTCTGAAAAAATTTACAATTTATATATATATATACTATACTGGTATTGATATTAATACTGTCTTTTATTTGATCCAGAAAGAAAGAGAAAGGTACGGTAACATGAAAAAAGCAAAAGGGAGTCCTAACTATACACAGAGAAGAGATTTTTTTAAGATTTTTAAAATTTTAATAAAGTGTGATATTTTTTAAAAATTTGAAGCAAATACTGTTTATATAAAAATGTGAAGAAAGTACAGTTTTAAATAAATAAACAGTTTCAATAAATTTAAAAGCCATTTACTATACTTTTAAAAAATACCAGAATATATTGGCCGGGGGAGCCCAGTAAGACAATCATGTTTTTCTAAACTACCTGACCCAAAGTGGGAACTTAGATGAGATTGGGTGTGTTCAGGGTGGTAAAAAAGTGGAAACTTAGAATAGTTAGCTGCTCAGTGTTCAAACTCTTTTAATGCAGTGCATATGTTTGTCTGTTGAACTAATAGTTCCAGATTCCTGCAACACATCATTTGTGGCTTATGTGGCCGTAATTATTAACTTTGACTTCTATGTCAATGCTTGGTTCCATCTAACTTTATAAAAATACATAGGGCTCTTTAGACCCTGTGTTTGGCATTATCACAATTTTTGCTTGGCTCAGACAGGGCAGGTTGATTATCATTAAAGTGTTATTTATTTCTATTTTATTAAGCCCCTTTTACATTCATGTTACAGGTTAATTTATACTTTTATTTCATGCACTACTTGGCTTTACTGATTAATATGCCCCATGGCATTCAATAAAGTCAGGCAGTGGAGGAAATAAGAGTGGTATTAATTTCTAACATTGCTATAAATTTGCCTTAATAAAACTAGCTCAGTACCATTGCAGAATTAATACAATGGATGCTTCCAAATTGTTAACAAAGATGCAACTAAACAATTTTCCTTCCTGAATTTAACCTCCCCCAATTGCCTTTTCTTTCGAGTGTTGAAATGAAACCTGCCATATATTTTTTCCCTCTTTAAAAGGTAATCCGAGAGTTGGCATAATATGATAGTACACAGCCCTGCATTTGACTTATGCCAACACTTTACTCAGATTTAAGGTTATAAACTATGCAAATTAACACAGGCCTTGGGGGTGGGGGGGGATGACTTTGTTCATGTAAGAATTTTCATTAAGATTAAAATTATCTAAAAAAAAAAATGATGTCTCCAGCATCAGTTATTTGTCCTTCTTTAGTGTGTTAACGCTCAGTCCCAGTAATAAATATTATTACTGTGAAATCTGATAACATGAAGAGGCCGGTGAAAAATCTATGTGCTGGAATAATTTTTTTGTCAGATAACCCAACACTCCCACCTCAACTGCTTAACCAAATAAGGTTAGAATTAGGATTCATGGGGGGGTGCCTGGGTGGCTCATCATTAGGCGTCTGCCTTCGGCTCAGGTTATGGTTCCAGGGTCCTGGGATCCCCGAGCCCTGGATCGGGCTCCCTGCTCAACGGGAGGCCTGCTTCTCCCTCTCCCACTCCCCCTGCTTGTGTTCCCTCTCTTGCTGTGTCTCTCTCTGTCAAATAAATAAATAAAATCTTAAAAAAAAATAATTAGGATTCATAGGAATTTATGAAGATAAGGACACACTACCACCCACTGTTTTTTGGGTCACAAAATTTTGATGATAAGGAAAGTACTCCATTGATAAGCAACCAAATTCATATATTAAAAGACAACACATTCGGGAGCGCCTGGGTGGCTCAGTTGGTTAAGCGACTGCCTTCGGCTCAGGTCACGATCCTGGAGTCCCGGAATCGAGTCCCGCATCGGGCTCCCTGCTCGGCAGGGGGTCTGCTTCTCCCTCTGACCCTCTTCCCTCTCGTATCTCTGTCTCTCATTCTCTCTCTCTCAAATAAATAAATAAAATATTAAAAAAAAATAAAATAAAAGACAACACATTCTTTCCTTTTCATTTTATTAGACTGTAGCTAGGCTGGCCAAAAAAAAATTGTTAAAATCAGAAATTTGCCCTCGTTTCCATTATCCTGAAAGAATAAGTATACTTTATTCACTCTGAAGTTCCCCTTTTCTTGCCTTTCAACAATTTAAGTTCTAGCATTTATGGATTAGAAAGAAAATTGATTTAAAAAATACAGCAAATATTAAAAAATTCTCCATTGCATAAAAGTGTCAGGAAATGTGTTCATTCAACAGATAGATATTATTGATTAGCCTCTCTGCCAGGCACTAATCTCATCCTGGGGACAGAACTGAGATTATAGTCTCTGTCTCCTTAGAATATACAGACTTGCTCTTTTATTTACTTTAATAAAATGGTGGTGAAATTTCACACATTAGTAAGGAAGATATTTTGGGACAGAAAAAAATTCTTATTTGGGGTCTGTCTTTTGAATGGATGAGGAACTTCTAGATTCCTTAAAGTCCCCTCAAATCACACCAAAGTAACAGGCATCTTTGCTCATAAAACAGTTCAAGAAACAGTGGAAGAGTGAGTCATCCTACATCCATGCTGTGCTCAGGAGCATATTTCTTGGCTTTTACTAAATCAACCTAATGGAGTGATTCTGCCACCCCCTCCCCACCCCCCAGCTCAACTCCAGTGAATCCAAGTCTATTAGCAAGGCAGATTTGATCTTACTGTTTTCTCTTGCTTGTCTTTTGGTTAAAATCAACTTTCAGGTAATTCACATTTAAAAGATGTGTCTTTTCATGTTCGTGTATTTATGCAACCTCCAACTTTATGCAAAAATAAAAATCTCCTCTTTGCTGTTTCTATTACCAAGCGCAAAGTGATCCTCTTTGCTCATAAAAATGAGACTTTAAGAATAAGTATTTCGGGGCGCCTGGGTGGCTCAGTCGTTAAGCGTCTGCCTTCGGCGCAGGTCATGGTCCCAGGGTCCTGGGATCGAGCCCCGCATCGGGCTCTCTGCTCTGCCGGGAGCCTGCTTCTCCCTCTCCCACTCCCCCTGCTTGTGTTCCCTCTCTCGCTGTGTCTCTCTCTGTCAAATAAATAAATAAAATCTTAAAAAAAAAAAAAAAGAGTATTTCTTTTTTCTTTTTATTTATTTTCTTTCATTATTTTTAAAAGGTTTTATTTATTTCAGAGAGAGAGAGAGAGAGATTGTGTGTGCGCCGGAAGGGGTGCGGTGGGGTGGGGTGGTGGGAGAGGGGGCAAAGGGATAGGGAGAAGCAGACTCCTGCTGAGCAGGGAGCCCGATGCGGGGCTCGATCCCAGGGCCCTGGGAACATGACCTGAGCCGAAGGCAGACGCTTAACGACTGAACCACCCAGGCGCCCAAGAATAAGTATTTCTGGATTACTCCTCAAACCAGTTTTTAGTAAAAAGTTATTTTCAAGAGAATAATCTACATCTTGGATCCTGAGGAAGCTGATTCAAGAGCAAAGCAACAATTTTGGAGGCTCAGGAGTGTCCCATCGTAGAAAGTTAGTTTTAGCAAGTAAAGAACGGTTTGTTTCCAGAAACCAATGTATATCCAGACCCTGGAGAATAAGGGGCTTGCACTGGGTTAACAACCTTTCTGTAACCTTTACTCACAAACATGCTGACTCAATGAACTGCCTCAATCCACTGAGAGTCCCGTCCATTGGCTTCAGGAAATCTGGTTGTTAGCTACTTTGGGAAAACAGTTTAGAAAATTGACCCAAACTCATTAATTTTGATGTGTTTTGATGGATCTTATGAAGTGGACAGACACAGTCTAGTTTATTGTATTTCAGGATGGATTTAATAATGCCATTGACTGACCAGTAGCTGGTCAACACACAAAGGAACTTACACACACACACACACACACACCTAGCTATTAGGCTAAACTAAGACTAAAGTCTAGTTATTGTATTTCAGGATGGATTTAATAATGCCATTGATTGACCAGTAGCTGGTCAACACACAAAGGAACTTACACACACACACACACACACCCCTAGCTATTAGGCTAAACTAAGACTAAAGTTTTGCATTATAATCAAATGGAGAAATCTTATTTAGGTAAGAATAGGTAAATCTGACCTGTTGGTAAAATGAGTTAGGCAGAGGGGCTCAAGTCCGTTAAAGCGGCCGACTCTTGGTTTTGGCTCAGGTCATGATCTCCAGGTTGTGGGATTGAGACCCGCGTCGGGCTCCCCACTCAGTACAAGTCTGCTTGTCCCTCTCCCTCTGCTCCTCCCCACCACCCCCTCTAAAATAAATTTAAAATATCTTTCAAAAAAATGAGTTAGGCAGTGAATTGAAGCAGAATGTAAGGTTATGTTTTTAGCTAATAGGAAATTAAAATCTGTTTCCAACGCCTCAGGATTTTGAATCCATGTATAATTACATTTCTTGGAATTCCCCCCCCCATACTATCTAATTCAAAACAATAGTAAATAAAAACAAACAATGCCCCAAATGCTTTTTTTTTTTTAAAGATTTTATTTATTTATTTGACAGAGAGAGACACAGGGAGAGAGGGAATGGAAGCAGGGGGTGTGGGAGAGGGAGAAGCAGGCTTCCCGCCAAGCAGGGAGCCCGATGCGGGGCTCGAGCCCAGGACCCTGGGATCATGACCTGAGAGGAAGGCAGACGCTTAACGACTGAGCCACCCAGGCGCCCCGCCCCAAATGCTTTCATCTTAAATTCCTATTATATAAATTTAAAAGCTTTAGGAGTCTCTAAAAATGTATTTTAGTAAGTCATTCTTTGCAGAGCCTTCTGGGGTATAATGCTGAACAGAATGACCAATTGCAAAAATATTGGTGTAAAAATTGATGTATAAAGCAAAGAGAACTTATTTGGTGAGAACTAGAGAATATTGTTGCAACTTTAAATTTTAGATGGCCTCAACTGAAATCTTTAGTTAAGTCACATGATCAGAACTCAATAAAATATATACGAATGTGAGGTGAGGGGTGTCAAGATTTCCCCCTCTGTATTTATTTTTTAAACAAATCTGTTCAAGAATTACTACCCTTTGAGGATAAGGATATTATTTTCTTTTTGAAGGGCAACATTGTACTCTATAGTGTGACTGGTACTGTCTTTTGTGCCATTATTAATACATTTCCTGTTTAAGGAAATGACTTTTTTTTTTTAACATGATAGTTTAAACTTCAAAATAAGTGCTATTGAGTTTTAAAATGTCTTATCTTACCAATGTCATTCTGGGCATGAAGAATAAAGTATGGGAAATGCTTGTCATAATAATCCTATTGTCATGAGATTCTTCTTTTTGAATAAAGTGGCTCACGTTTGGTTTTCCTTTTTTGGGGGCAATTGGGAGAGAGAAAGTAAGTGTCATAGATAAAACAAACAGACCCTTCCCTTTTGGATGAGTGATTTTTAAAAATACAAATATATAATATCCCTCTAATATAAATAAAGATCAGGAATAAATTCCAAAGGTCTTGTCTTCATATTTCCAAAGGCCATGCAAGTCTCCTCATACGGTTCTAGCTAATGAATTTTGTTTCCCTTCATTTTTACTTTTCTTTTCTTACTGCATTCTTCAAAACCATCATTTAAAACGTAACCAGATTTGAATTGCAATATTAAGCACAGAAAAATAGCAATAGCAAAGGTTAAGTTTGTGGTATTGCATTTTTCATTTTATGTACTTAAAGCATATTTCGCCATTGAATAACATATGGTTAATGTGTATTTAATAAACGATGTTGATTCCACTGTGAAAATTCCAGCATTTACTGAATGGAATCTATTTATATTTTCATTGAACTTACCATAGTTCAGATATTTTTTCAGTTATAAAATAAGCAAGGTAGTAATATATATATATATCTCACATATATTAATTACTAATTATATTATATATATTATACAAGCATATGTTTTAGGGTTTTTTCATTTGATATGCATATATGTATATAACATTTTTCTTGTTATTAAGGCTTTCATCTTAAAACCAAGGTGACCCTCAGTTTTGAAAATACAGAGAGCACTATAATGAATGGTTAACAAATTATAGTTTGCAAAGGGCACAAGTGTCTTAATTGTGCATTAATAATAAAGATAATGCTTATTGCATACTTATTTGTTCTAAGCAATGTGCTAAGTGCTTTATGTGCAATGTAGTTCATTAGTCTCACAAGCCAGCAGGGGTGGGGTGGGGTGGGGGGAGATATTTTTACCCTCATTTTAGAGTGAAAAACAAACTTGGGATTGGATGACTTATTCAAGGTCCCACAGCTAGTTATTGGTAGAGCTAGGATTTTAACCCATGGCTATCCATTTATACCCACTGTACATTGAACAAGATCAGATAGCTTTAATTTACTTGTAAAGTTTTTGTTAAATATCAGGTGGAAAAATATAATAATTATGACAAGACCAAGAATGCTAGAAGGCAGGGTTTAAGGGCCAAGGTTATGGAACATTACCCTCTTCCCTTGTAGAAAGAGTGAGAGAGAGATTACAGTAGGCGCGATGGCAGAGCAGTCCTGTAACACTGTGAGGTGAGCATTGATTATTTGCCCAGTTCATTAATTCACTTAAGCAGGATTTTGTTGGTCACTCTGATGGGTGGTGGTGTACAAAGGTAAGAAACAGTGTCCACCTTTGAGGAGTGTACAGCCTTATGAGGATATAGACCATCACTCAAATAGTGCAGTAGCTTAAGAATGATTAGGAATTGTACTGACGACAAAAGAAGGTATGTAATCTAGAAAAGGTGGGTGGTAGGTAGACTTGCCCTGAGTTTTGAAGATTTACAAGTGAGGCAGACAATATGGTGAAGGGTGAGGCAGGAGGGTGGAGCTTTCCAGGCGGAGAGAGCAGGTGGAATAAAGGCCAGAAGGTCCAAAGGAGTTTGGGTGGGTTAGCATAGCAATAGATAAGCCTGAAGATGGACAGACAGACAGACCAGGTTCTCCAGGGCTGAGGATCATAGAGGTTCATATGAAGGCTCTAGGGGAGAGACATGATGAGATCTACTTGTTAGGATAAGCACTCTGGCTAAAGTGTGGGGAAAGGATTGGGGAGGGGTCACAATAGCGAGGACCATGTAGGCAGCTGGAGGAGGACAGGAGGGAAATGACAAGGGCCTGACAAGTGGCAGGGCTTCGGTGAGAAGAGGACAGCTCAGGGACAGTCCAACGATGTCAAGAAAATACATTTGTTGGGTTCCAAGAAGGTCCCTGGCGACTCTTCCTAGAGCCTCAGGTGAGCAGTTCTTGAAGCTGGTGGGGTTGAGGAGTCACCCAGGGATGAGTGGAAAGGAAATATAGTGAGTGCAGTCTCTGAGTTTTCTCCTTTTCTACTCCCTGTGGAGATTTCCTCTATCCCCAATCTCAGAGAAAGAAAGAAAGAAAGAAAAAAAAAACAAAACCACTTACCGGGCAATTAATGAAAACCAGTGCGTTGTAGGAGCCTCATAATGACCCTGTGATAGAGGCCCTACTGTGATTTTCATTTCATAGGTGAAGAGAGTGAAGAGTTT